GCTCGAACTCGATCAGATAATCTGCGTAGTCATCAATGAGTGCACATTCGACCGACAACCACGCTCTCCACAACATGCCATCGGCTTTTTGAGCGCTCAGACCCGGTTTGAAACGCTCCTCGTTGAGTGGGGCAAACAGCTCCGTAGCGTAGCACGCCTTTGCTTGCTCCTGGTCCAGACCATCTGGAGCGCCCGTGAAGTGCTCAATGAATCGCCGCAGGTGCTCCCCACTCCTTCCCTGCTCGACAATGATGCCGCAGTTAATAAGAGATGATGTACGCAAAGTCTTGTCCAATCGAGACAACATGTTGGATGATGTACACCTATTGACGGATGATGTACTCTGATTGAGTAGCTAGAAATGTACGCGATGACCGAAAATGTTCCCAAGTCCTCCCTTGATCGGAATGATGCCGCAGTCACTGAGGGATAATGTACTACAAGATTCTTGGTCCAATTTAGTTAGAATATCGAGTGTTGTATACTTGATACAGGATATGTACACTATTCAGCTGGAATGCTGAGTTATGTACACTGATTGACAGAAATGTGCTCAATTGCCGAACTCGGCCTTTGGTCAATCTCAACACGAAGCGCACCGCTTGGAGCTTAAAGCCTGACTGACACTTTGCACATGCTGTCTGTACATTGACAATCTTCAACAAGTGCAGATTGACGGGCCTGCCTCTATGGTGCCGACAAGCACGGCTTGGGGCAAGATTGTAAGCTCACGTCAATCTACCAGGTGCTTTCAAATTTGCCTCTGCTTGCAAAAGGTCCTGCGGCCGATAGGGTGCATGTACACGAATTTTTGATCAATCGACCAGAATTTCAGGCAATGTACCTTGATTCAACAAGAATGTACACGTTTTGCAGGCCGGCCATGAGTGACCCCCGAAAACCAAGTCGAAGCTGTAGCAAACGGGTTGATTCACCTCAACCTTATCTGGGTGGAATCGCAGGGACCACGTCGCGTGGTTCAGCACGATCTCGCCCTGATCGAATTTCTCCTTCAGATCCTGCACATAGATCTCAGCATCGGCGATCAGCCACGAGATAGGCGGCAGCACGTAAGCCGGTGCTTTGGGCATCTGGGGAGCGGGCACGGCATCACGCGCCATTAGGCGGTAGTTGGCTATGTGCCGCGCGCGATAGACGGCCCGCTCCCCGTCGAGCGTCGTTCTGTATTTGGACACGGCTGCCCTGTTGCTTTGGCGCTTCAGTTGGCGAGCAGCTTCTGGCCCCAGGTCGTGATACTTGGAGGGCGCGCGGTTGCTTGGGAGTTTCCAGGGTTCACACCCCGTCCGCTTCCGGTGGCCTTCCAAAGCTTGCTTTGACACGAAAGGCTTGCCGCAGCTTCTTGCCTCGCTCGCATGCTGTTCGAGGCAAACGAAGCGGCCGCCGTCTCTCTTCCAGAGCTCAAGTTCCATGATCTGCAATTCAAGGCAGATGGATGACGAGTCAGCGCTCATTGTGGCTGTGGGCAAAAGCTTCTCAAACTTGTATACCGTCTAAGCTTTTGATAGGAGCCTTCGAATGAACCCGCACAGGTATCTGGGATTCAGCCCACGCGAAAGTTGACACCCGCTGCAGGCCCAAGATATGTCAATACCAGAGTGGCAAACTTAAGAAGCCCCCAAAGGAGCTTCTGATCAGCTCTTCGGCGGGCCCGCCATCAGCCTGACAGCGGGTTTCAGATCAGCCCAACAGCGGGGCATCAAATCAGCCCCACGACGGGGCAACTAGCTTTGTGGCGAGCTTGAAAGAGAGCCCAGAAGCGGGCGTCAAATGATTCGAATCGAGGTTCCAAAGCAGCCCCAGGAGTGGGCTCCGAATCAGCCCAACAGCGGGCCCGCAATCTGTCTGACAGCGGATCCCGACAGCAGTCCCCGCCTCCAATCGACAGCGCCCCAATTCAGCTGACAGAGATCCAACAGCATGCCTTGCAACCAGCTTGACAGCAGCTCCTAGATCACGTGAGACGGCGGGCTCTACATCAATCTGATAGCGGCCCCCAAACCAGCACTTGTCGT